GCGCCGAGGCACCGCTGCCGGGCAAGCTCCTGTCGATAAAGGCTGGCAATGCGGCGCACACTGCGAAGGGCCCTATGGTTCCACCGATTCCGTCCCTTTCCTTTAAGGGCGTCGCGTTGAACAAGACCGTCGCGAATGGCGTTCCTAAGAGCGTCAAAGCACCCTCCGCCGCGAAGAAGCCGGGGAAGAAACCCGAAAAGAAGCCTGGAAAGAAGAACGTCAAGAAGGGCGACCGAAAGCCCAAGCCGAAGAAGGCTGCCGGAGGAGCGAAAAAGCTCGCCGCCTTGAAGATCCCAAAGGTCAAGAAGAATGTCAAGGTACCGAAACTGAAGAAGGCCGTCAAGCCGGCAAAGGCGAAGCCTATAATTAAGAAGTAGTGGGCTGTCATCAGTGAGGCCCACTAAGGAGTTACCGTGCAGTTGTAGGTTGTTGCTTTCAGTTAGGAAAAAATATACTGAGACCCGTGCGAATATAGAGCGTGGAACGTAGTTCACTCACACTGCCTCTTCTGTAATCAATATAAGTATCGGCGGACTTGCACTTGGTTACTACACTCCGATTGATAGAATTTTCCTTTTTTTTTTATGCTATTAGATAGAGAAAAAATATTTTGTAAGTAATTGAAGTAGATCTTATGATATTGAGCGTGTTTTATATTAATTTGTGCGTATGGGGAACTGCGGACTCACACCAAATACAGCCACGTGTTTAGACCCCCTCCTGTGCTGCACTGCTTCCAATGATTTTCATCTCCCCACCCCCTTCTTCTTTCTCTGTATTTTTTTGTACTATATTTATTTTTAATCTTTGTAGGAGAATCGTTCGGCACACGTTAGCATTTCAAATTTCTGAAGATAACGAAAATAATTCAAGGAAATGTGGACTTCATTTACCCTTCGTATTGGGAAACTGTCCAAAGTTACGCCTGTTGAAAAAGTTACACCTAAGTTAATTGGCGTATCTGTTCGTTCGCTTCCAAATTCTTATCAATTACCTCTCAATTCAAAATTCCCGCATCGTGAAAGGATTGCTCTTCTGCAATTTAACAAGTTAATTGAATCTTCACGGAAACGGAAGTTATCTATTATCAATAAAGCTATTTCACTTGCATTAAAGTCATCCGTAACGTCACCTCAATCTTTTCTGTTAAAGACCTATGAATCGAATAAAATTAAGGCCAAGGCTGAACTGGAGCGAATTCAGAAGATTGTGCCTTCATACCAATATCCTCTGGCATCGGCTGCTCTTTCTCTACCAAAACCTTCTATCCAAAATGGTTCCAGAACCCCAGGTTCTCTCAGTCGTCAGACGCGGGAGGCTAAGGCGACAGCCGACTTCCAGAAACTGGTTCAGGAGATTTCTATGACGCGGAAGGCACAAATTGAGGACATTTTAAGCAAACTCAGGAAGGATATTTCCAATGAACCTTCCAAGATGTCTAACGAAGCGCCGATGGAGTCCATAAAATTTGATCAGCCATTAATGCTTGAAAACCGAATAGAACAGAAAGAAGCCGAGAGGGATGAACTTAAGGAAAGGGATGAAACCAACAAGGCTTTGGCTGATACTCCACAGAACGATATCAAAGGAGAAGCGGAGCCAGCCCCGAAACCATCAAAAAGCTCTATCCAACGAGGCAACAAGTTGAAGAGCGAGCCAAACCCTCTGGAAAAAGTGATCAGCAATACGAAAAGAGATCGCCGTAATACCCCTCATCATGCGTCGCCTTCGAAACCCATAGATTTAACTACAAAGAACGATCACAGTGATCGTGAACGAGTCACTTACTTTAATCTGTTAAAACATCAAGTACAGGAGCGACTAAGTAATGTTACTCCTGGTACTGCTGCTGTGAGTAATCCAGGACCAGTTGTGAACACGAAACCCTCGTCTTCGTTGTTACCTCGAAACCCTACTGGACTCTTTCGTTTATAGAATAGTTTTGAAAATAGTGAAATAACAATTGAATGAGTTTTATCTTATTAATAAATTACCTATAAAAATTTTTCCGATTAGTTTTTTTGTTGTCGATACCGGAAGTTGGTATACTTACAAGAGTTTTTTTATTATTCCATATGCTACTTTTTTTTATGTTATCAGATAGAATGACGGGCCCTTAGTGTTATGAATATTGAAACCAACATTTGGAATTTCATAGATATTGCAACTAATTTTAACTTTTAGATATTTATACACTACTTTCTTTTAATTTTTCTTTGACGTCAGATTTGTTTTATTCTGTGATCCGTTTGTCCTCCCATCAAATTATAAATATAGCAAAGAATATTTTCGACCAATGAATGTTTAGATAGAATCATTTTTTCAACATTATTCATAAATATATCAAAACCGAAAAATAAAGTCTAAATTTTTACTTCTTACCCTCAATATTTTTAAATTTTTCCAAATATATAGTTAGTTGCTCATTTTTCCAAAAAAAATAATAAATTATAGCTTTTACCGACTTGAGTTTTTTTTCGAATGTCACACTTCCATATAGTATTCTTAAATGAAAATCGGTGATTTTATTTCCCGATATGCGTTCATTACTCCGTTATTTAGCCTTGTAATAATTCGATTAGTTATAGCTTATACCAGCTCCCGAATTACCCGTTGCGCTTACCCAACCTTACGGCTCACTTCCAGAAGGAGAGCAGAGCGTTTGATATCGAATTTGACTGCAGCTGCAGCATCTATCCAGACAAAACGCTGTGATACGAGTATTATTAAGGTTTATCTCAATCATAATAACTTGTCTTTCGTAACTGTACCTTTGTGTTTCTTTCAAGAAAATGATTGGACAGTTCAAGATATCTTCGAAACCTACTGCATGCTTTGGGATACTTCTGATGACGCAGATGAATCATTGAGCGACGTTTGGAATTGTCTTTGTTCTATGATAGATGCTCATCTTACCTTCTACTTAGATAATCTCAACTGTGATGATGAGGAACTGATTAAAACTGTGGCGATAGCTCGACTCTTGATGAGTAAGTACAACATCAAGAAAAAGCAACTCTTTAGGGGGATGAATTACAAAAATCGTTGTAGAAGCCATTACACTGCTTTAATAAACAACTCACTCACACGGCTTGCAGAGCAACGGAATGCTTCGAAAGGGTCCACGTTCCGTTCCTTCATATTACTTCTAAAGTCTTGTCGAAGGGTCATGAGCAGCACGCATCTGCTTGCTCTAACAGGGGTTGCCCTGCTGAATGGGGATTGGATATTTCGATTGTTGCCCATAGCAAGTGAAGCTCTATGCTACACGGACTTGGTTAATAGGCAGTTCATCACTCCACAAGGCACGAGTTTTTTTACGTTTGCAAAGGATGCCCTGATAGGAAGTAGCGGCAAGCTTTTGGCCTTAACTCTGTTAGGAAATACGGTGTGGGATTTCGCGCGCGTGGGTAAGGTTTTACTATCTAGCTCTGTTATGGACGAGTATTATCATGCGCTTTCACTAGACGCGATGGTGTCTTTGTCGAGGCTGGATTACGTCCCGCACAGCTACTGGGGCCTTCCATCCGCGGTGAATCACGCCTTGCACACCCTCACGAGCTTTGATCTGACGGATATAAACATTGCCTTATCAAGATACCTAGGCTTCCTGGACATTTTCACGATATGCGCTTTGTACCCTGTCGAATGTGCAATTCTATGGATGAGTCAACAATGGATTCGCCATGTTCGACTTTCGTGGATCAGAATGACGTATTTGCGAGATTTCATGAGAGAATTTTCTGAATGTCCGGCTGCTAATGGGAAATCGCCAGTGGAATCGCCGGTCGAAGCGATTTCTACGTGCCAGCGGAAATGTTCCTATTATTCCAGTCACTACGGCTTAACCTTGCTTTTGTCCGTTTCGATTGAGAAAGAAAGTCTGCAACGAATTGCCCCTCAGACGTGTCTGCCGTCCTATCCATTCACATGCACAAGATTGTCGATGAAGGTTTGCGACGAGATGCTTACACTTTGTGCCCATCGCCCGAAGGACCCGGTGGTTCGTCATTTCCTCGCCAAACGGGACCTGCTCTGGTCTTTGGAGTCCGCGGAGAAGCGTGGGGAAGTGCCGGCCCTGGCGATCGACGACCCGAGTTTTTACACACGGCTTCGGGCGCGACGCCTTGAAGGATGGGAGGACGTCGAGGCACCCATCTGCGAGCCCACCGCGTGGGAGGTGAGATTCGGGGGGGGGTGGGATGGGGTCCTGGGGCGGGTGTTTGCGCTCGCGGAGCGGGTGCCCGTGCTCACAGCGGTCGGGTGGTCCGCAGAGCTGGCCCAGGGCGACACGGCCTGTATGGCGGGACTGGACCGTCTCGCCGAGGTGGGGGAGGGGCTTCCCCTGGCCCTCCTCCCCCGCCGCTCGAGGGGCGGGGCCCGACC